GTTATAAAACTTAACCTCAATCAGGACACTTTACTCATAGCATAGTCCAACAATAGTTACAGGCCCAGTCCTTATCCCTGTGATCCTTCACATGGCTGCGATCATGTACAAATATAACCTTGGAGGCACACTTTAAAATCTACTGCTGGGTGACATATCTTTACATTAGCCAAAAAGACTTCATGAAAGAGCATCTAGAAATACGTGAGGGCAAGCCAGGCAGGAGGACATGGTATGCAAATAATCATTTTAAACCTGGAGAAAGAGTATGGGGAACTGAAAAAAAAAAACAACTTCTAGTATATTTATGCAACTCATAAGTATCTTGTTTTTTACTATGGTTCCTCTCTACAAAGGAAGAAAAGCACATAGATGGTTCAAGAAAGCACAATTGTAGAACTACCAGTAATTACCACAACACACAAGGAGAATATCAGTAGCATATTTTATTGAAATGGCACTACCTCCTACCACTGGGGGAGAAAGATGAGACTTTCTGCTTCTGTAAATATTTATTCCTTGGAAACGCTCTGCAGTAGGGTGATTATGAGTCAGAATCAACACAACAATACTTAACAAAAAGTCCTTCTCTGTGTCCTTTGCAGGTGTATGTTCCTCTGTCTTGTCATTAAATACTAGAGTTCGTCAGGGCTCAGTTTTAAAAAACCCTGTTCTCATCTACCCTCTATTTGGATAATTCACATCCAGTCTGGACTTCCACATTGATTTTTGGACTTATTCTCCTATATCTTCATCTGTTGTTGTCAAGTAGATTCCGACTCATAATGACCCTGTATAGGGCTTACAAGGAGCCGATGGTGGGTTTGAACTGCCGATCTTGTTGTTGTTGTTGTTAAGTGCCATGTATGAACTGGAACCCTAAGAGCAACATGGTTTTACTTACCCTTATATTATTAAAACTAGCACAAAATAGTACTGTAGACATGCATTTATAAAGTGAATAACAGACACTAGTAATAGATCAGTCAGTGTGTGCCAAGCACTAAAATTTTTATTAAATTATCTTCTTCAATTCTCACAACAGCACTCTTAGTGGACATTATTATTATTATAGGAGCACGGTGACTCCATGGGATAAGCACTGGATTTCAAATCAGAAGGATGGCGTTTCAAGCCCACCAGACGCTCTGTGGGAAAAGCAGCTTTCCACTCTTTTAAAAGATTTAAGGCCTTGAAAATGCTGGAGTCAAAACCAACTCCACAGCACTTAACAACAACATTATTAATATACTCAGTCTACTTAAGAAGGGCATTAAGACATCTGGTCCTACAGCTTGGAAGGAGAAGAGAGTGGACTCAGATTACCTGTATTCAGAATCAGCCCAGGACTATGATGGTATTCCATCTTTATGGACACCAAATACAATCTTAAGCTAATGGTTAAAGTTTACCTTGATTTAATACAAATTATGTTTAATTTACGAGTAGATTACATAGAAAATACTTATCTATTATTTGATTGTTAGGAATTTGGAAGATTTTAAAAATAAAAACAATGGTAAATAATTATTAGCCCAATATCCAAGTAGAGTCTTAATTGCACAGCACCTGAGAAGAGAGGCCATGCAAGGCAGAGTGGAAGGAAGGAAGACAGTTCTTAACAAGTTCCGGAAAAATAAAAACTGTTTTCGGAATTCTGCACCTGTCTTATAGAATCACTCATCTCCTGGTGCCTTTTTCGGAGTTCCCAGTAAGCATCAAAGTCGATTAAAATGACCTTACACCTTTTGAGTTCTACTCTTTAAAATCATTTGTCCCTATGATTTTCTTCTGCAGTTAGTTGTTACTGAGTTCATTTCAACTCATGGCAAACCCATGTGTGCAGAGTAGAACTGCCTCTTAGGGGTTTCAAGTTGTGTGACCTTTCAGAAGCAGATCATTAGGCATGTCTTCTGAGGTGCCTCCAACTGGTTCAAACTGTCAACCTGTCAACTAATGACTGAGTGCTTTAACTGTTTGTGCCGCTAATGCTTTCTTCCTCAATAAGCTACAGTAAACATGTAGAGCAATTTTAAAACAAAAATGAATGCCTACTCAGACATCTTCAGATTATATGTGGTCATCATGTGATAAATCATATTTTTGTCTGGAATCTTTCCTTCTTTTCAACCTCTTTTTCTCCTAATATCCTAATGCTAGATCAGCAAACTATGCCCCATAGTCTAATTCTGGGCCACTGCCTGGTTTTGTGGAGTCCTGGTGTGGCACTGTGGGATACAGCACTGGACCACAAGGTCAAAGTTTCAAACTCACAGCTGCTCCTTGGAACCCCTGCACAGGATTGCTAAGAGCCGGAACCCACTCAGCACTTTAACAACACGAAGCCTGGTTTTTATAAACAAAGTTGAATTAGAACACAGTCACACTCATTTGTTTACATAATGCACTACAACAGCAGTTATAGGGCAGAGTTAAGGAGCGGAAGCCACATAGAGGCCAAATAGGATACAAAGCCAAAACCATTACTATTTGGCTAACGACTAAATGAGGCCTGTAGACTATACTTTAATGCAATGGAAGCAAATATAATATCAAAAAAATAAATCAATATGCCAATCACCATCAAGTAGATGCTGACTCATAGTGATCCTGTAGGAAAGAGGAGAATGAACTGGCCATAGTGTTTGCAGGCCTGTGACCTTTACAGGAGCAGGCTGCCACATCGTTCTCCTGTGGAACAGCTGGCTGGTGGATTCAAACCACCAATCTTTCAGTTAGCACAAGAGTGCTCAAGTTCCTCTGGCACCCAAACCCCCAAACCCAGTGCTGTCGAGTCAATTCTGACTGTTAGTGACCCTACAGGGAGTAGGACTACTCCATAATATTTCCAAGGCTGTACACCTCTATAGGAGTCCTGGCGTGGTGCCGTGGGTCAATGCCCTCGACTGCAAAGTCGGTTTGTACCACAAGGTTGGCAGTTCAGGTGCTCCACAGAAATCCTATACCGGGTTGCTATGGGTCGGAACCAATTTGACATTACTTAACAACAACAAACCTTTAAAAGAGCAGAAAACCTCAATCTTTCTCCTTCAGAGAGGCTTGTGGATTTGAACTGCTGACAACAGTCAACTGTTTATCCTTGACAGCATCACCAATTGCCTCTAATTGAATGCTGGGCTCTTAATAACACTAGCCTTTCAAAAGACATATAGCTATTACTGTTTTAATTAGTAAAATAAAGAAGGAAAGACAAGAGGGAGGAAAAGAAGAGAGGAAGTGAAAAAAGAAGACAAAGGCTCGGTGAATGAAGTAATGTGACCATGATCACACCACAACCAGTGAGAATTGGGACTCAGATCCTGCTCTGCCAATTCACGGGTCATAAACTTGCCAATGTGCTCATTACTTCTCTCAGTAGAGCTTGGAACTTCATGCTGTCCTAATGTCTGGAGTGGCGCTGTGGATCAGCACTGAACTGTGGACCACAAGGTCAGGTTCAAACTCTTACCAGCTGCTCCTTGGAAACCCTATATAGGGCCACTTTCAGTCATAACCAACTTGACGGCACTTAACAACAACAATCTTCTACTCATGCCATTCCTTCTACTCAAAAACACCCGCCAAATTTTCTTTAAAGCATATCACTGCATGGTGAAATTGTAAACATTCTTGGGGGGCAAACTCTAGTGCTTTCCTGGTTTCCTATAGCCAGAGTAATAATCTCTCCTAAACACGTCCATAGCATTTATCCATATTCATATCCACTTAACCATTTTCTCCCCTTAAACTTAATGGTAGCAAACAACATGCCCACCTTTATATCCTGCATACAAACTAGCACAGTGCCAGGCACAGCTATGCACTTAATATTTATGTAATGAATGAATGAATGTAATCTGATTAAAACATCAGGAAATTTCCATTTAGAGTTTTTAAAGAAAACATACAAAGACTCACTTTCTTAATTTAACAGATAAAAATTCAGAGTGCAACCAAAAAACAGAAATGCCTTCCTTTAGCATTGTTATTTAGAATTTTAATCTAACTTTCTTATTAGAAAACAATTTTAAAAGGAACTAAATATTCATAACTATAAAATACTCATTACATATTCTGAATATAACTAGTTAAGATATCAAAATCTAACTACGGTAAAATTGAGGTTTAATATTTAGTTTTTATTACATGTATAATTTCGATAAGCTAAAAAATTCTTCACAATGTACACATTTTTACAGAAGTATCAAAACTAACTTTCGAAATAAAAAAAAATCAATCAAATATCAACAATCAAGTATTATATATTTCAACAATAATACTTCAAGATAATAGATGGTGTCCCCAACAAAGTTATTTTTTGAAGTTGTATAGTGTTGAGAGAGTGCTGATACATGCTGAAACATAGATGAACCTTGACAACATTAATCTAAGTGAAATAAGTCAGACTTAAATAAACAAATATTGTACAATGCCACTTATGTGAAAAACTCATCATAGGCAATCGCATAGAGACCAAAGTTTACTAGTGGTTACCAGTGGCAGGCAGGAGAGTCATGGCTGAGGGGACACTCAGTACCCGTCAGGGTGGTGGGAAAGTTTGGAAACAGAGAGTGACGATGACTGCACAACATGGTGACTCTAATTAATGTCACTAAGGTGTACACATGAAAGAGCCTGAAGTTGCTAATGTTTTATTATATACATGTGATCAACTTAAAAATGGTGGTGGTGGGGGTAGTGCGCGGTGAAGTCGGTTCCTACTCATAGCGACCCTGCATAGGGTTTCCAAGGCTGTAAATCTTTACAGGAGCAGAAAGCCTCATCTTTCTCCTGTGAAGCTAAATCTGTCAACGTAAGATAATTTAAACACAAATAACGTTTGCAAACAGATACGTAATTAGAAATAGTTTTAGGATCTGGTTTATTTGCCAGATATTCTCTGTATTTTGAAAACAACAGTGAAAAATAAGTCACACAACAAACATGATCAATATAAAAGTCAAATGTATATATTCAAACCAGACAATATTGGTACCTACCTGCATTACCTTCTGTTGAATCTCTTCTAACTGTGTGCGCTTACTACGTTGCCTACAAACTTCCTGGTAGCGAGTATATTGCTCTCGTAGTGAATCTAACAATTTCATAACTTGTGGCTGTGCCAGCAGTTCATCATCCATAGGAGACCATGAGACCCCTCCATCTGAGCCATTAAATCGACGCTGCTGCAATTCGGACAATAATTCATGTCCTTTACAAATGAAAGACACTTGGAATTAATATCCACAAAAAATACAATTTACTTCTCAATACAGTCAGGCCTCCATATTCATGGTTCTGTGAATCAAAAAGACTCCGAGGGTATAAAATGGCTCCTAAAATACAAGTAGGTCATCAAAGCAATCCTCAAAGGTCAACAGGGAAGATAAATTGCTACTTACAAGGCATTCAGATCTAAGCAACTTAGAATTGACTTAGAACATATGAGAGAATGTGCATAGGTTATATGCAAATACTATGCCATTTTATATGAGGGGCTCAACCATCTGTGAAAGGGGTTTCTGGAACTAGTCCTCCTTGGATAGAGGGTTAGCTGTATTCTCCATTCTGTCACTGTTTTAAAAACATATTTACTTATCTATCTGTTTACCTACTTAGCTATCAGGTTACAAACACTAAAACTATTTTTCTATTTATATATCATAATAGGAAAATTGCATATATGCATGTATTTATGTTTGTATATATACAAATTGTTGTTGTGTTGCATCAGCTCCAACTCATAACAACCCTGTACAGGGTTTCTGAGGAGCAGCTGGTGAGCTGGAACCACCGATATTGTGGTTGGCAGTCTAGTGCTTGTCCTTCAGCATCACACCACACACACAACACTGAGTATTTATATGCCACAGTGTATTTCTTTGTGTGCATGTATATACATACATGGACTCCTCATGTGGTGTTGTAGGATCAGCATTAGACTCCGAGCGACAAGGTCAGCGGTTCAAGCTCATCAGCTGCTCCTCAGAAACTCTATACAGGGTCACTATGGGTCAGAAGTAATTAGACGGCACTTGACAACAACATAGCCACTCTATGGAGGGCAGTGATGGTTCAATGGCAGAAGGTGAGACACCTTCCATGCAGAGACCAGGGTTTGATTCCCAGCCAATACATCTCAAGTACAGCTACCAATTGTCTGCCAGTGGAGACTTCCGAGCTGCTTTGATGCCGATCAGGTTGTAGCGAAGTCTGTGCATTAAGATGGACTAGGAAGAGTGATCTACTTCCAAAAAGCAGCCATTGAAAACTTTATGAATCCTAATAGTCTGATCCAATTGTGCATAGGGTCACTAAAGTTACTGGCCAACTCAACAGCAGCTAAAAACAACAAATAGATACTTAAAACAGATACATATTTTGGGGTACTACACAGACACACACAAGAATCACATCTGGTACATTCTTGTTATTGGCAGATTCATCATTCAGAATACAGAGTCAACCAGTGCTCGTTCCCTGCAAAGCGTAATTACGTGCACTCTGGGATTTCTAGCTGGCGGTGTTAATCTATGTAGTATTATTGTTACATTTCAGTATTAAGCCACACTCTTTTAAAATTGTACCTTCTAAAAGGAAAGTTAATACTGTAACAAAAGTATAATTAGATTTAAGAGAGAGTCTTATTTCTGGTACCAAAAAAAAAAAAAAAAAACATTTAAGCATCTCTTTACAGAATGGAGTCCTGGTGTGGCCCTGTATGATAAGCGCAGAATCACAAAGTCCCATTTTATTTCTCTTGATCCCTGCTTTGTATCAGTAGGATATAAACAGAATACAAGTGGCATATAATGGTAATTTAAAAATACAAATTAAAAAATCTTCTCAATTCAATGGCTTAAAATAAGAAGATTTCAAAATAGTAATATGAGGGGACTTCAAAAAAGGTTCATGGGAAAATGGAATTAAAAGGTAACTGAATTTTTCCAAACACTTTTTGAAGTCCCCTTGTATATACATAGAATTAAGTTTTAACTCTAGAACAAAATTTTTACTGTCACTTCTATACCTTCTTAATATGTAGCGTCTACAAGTATTTCTTTGTTTGCTAAGCAAATCAGATCTCTGGCATACTGAAAAAAATTAGGAACAACCGAATCAATACAAAAATAACATTTTTGTCCCTATCTTGACAATGGTTGTCCTTAACATTTTTCCTGTTGGTAACATTTCCATTAGAAAATGGCAGAACATAGTCATTTCACAGAACCAACTCTGAAACCAGAGTGCCTGAGTTCCAGTCTCTACCTTGGCTATGTAATCTAAATATATTGACTTGCTTTTTACATTTCAAAAGTTGAGATAATAATAGCACCTAAACCACAGGGTTGTGGTGAATGATAAAATTAAGAGTAAAATTATGAACTATTATTTAGAGAGGGAAAATATTAAAAATAAATTCATTCTAAAGCATTTAGTTTACTTAGAATTTGTGAACCCATGACTAGATATCTGCATTATCGTAAACATGCCATGCAGCACTGAACAGTTAGTATACATAAGGCCACTGTATTGTGCTTTGTTTTTACAGTTTATTGGAAAGGGGTTTTGGATTTCAACATATTTTGAGCTAAGGTAATAGCACTTAATAGCTACTTTATCATGATCAAATTATTTTATAACTTTAAATCCTGACCTCCTTAAGCACAAAATACAGCAAGTAATACAAATTATCTCAAAGGGCTATTAGGAAATTTAAACATGAGAATACACAAATTATGTTTAACAAAATGCCTGGCACAGAGTTATCCTAAAACATTAGCTTTCATTACCTTACACAAGCCTTACAATTCTCATAAACCAAAAGCCAAATCCAAAGCAACCTGTGAAACAGGAATTTTTATCTCCATTTCAAAGATAAGGAAACAAATTCAAAGATTTCAGAGAAGAAAAAATTTAAATAATAACTTGTCATTATTTTAAGGTATATCAATTAACACACTGTTGTTAAGTACTGTAGAGTCGATTTTCTTCAAATTCTAGTACATAATAATATATGCTCAATTAATACTTACTCAATGAACCAATCAATCTATGAGTGTATTATGACTATCACTAATAAATATGTTTTTTCATCTTACCTGTTTGAAGAACCGTTTCAGGATCAACTGATGGAAGAAAGTTTAAATCCACAGACCTGGCAAACATCAAAAGAGAAATTCTGAAAAGCTCTAATTCTATCAAAAAATTTGAAAAAGTCTCTAATATTTACATACAAGAGGTCTTTGAAAAGTTCATGCAAAATTGGGATTAAAAATTAATGGAATTTTCCACATACTTTTTGAAGCCCCTTCATGTAAAAACAACAATAAAGTAAACCCATTTTCATAGAGTCCATTCCTACTCACATATCTGTTCTTGGCAGAGTAAGTAGAATTACCCTACAAGGTCTCCAGGGCAATTGTTAGAGAAGCAGACTGCCTGCTACATACATCCTTTTCCTGGAGCAGCATGGATTAGAACCACTGATGTTTTTGGCTAGTAGCCAGAGTGCTTAACCACTTTGCCCTCAGGGCTCCACATATTAAGCAAGGGCACACAAATATGAAAATCTGAAATATGCTATGCTACCAGACTAATTTCTCTCAAGCCTAAGGAAGCCCATTAGAGATAATTAAATACAAGCAGCCAGATAATTGGGAGTACCGTGGCTCCATATGATAAACACTGCACTTCCAACCACAAGTTTGGTGGTTTGAGCCCAGCAGTTGATCTGCGGGAGAAAGATGAGGCTTTCTGCTTCCATGAAGATTTAAAGCCTTGGAAACCCTACATAAGCCTCTATGAGTCAAAACAGACTTCACTGAAGTTAACATCAGCCAGATAAATATTAATGTGATAAATCATAAAATATATCCCTTGGAAAAGCTTATTCTTATTATAGCATTATTTCAAAATTATATTGTAGTATGTATTTGAAATAATACTACTATGTTCAGTGTTAATTTCCTAAACGTATGTTTCAAAATCTGAAACTGCATAGTAACTCAGAATTGTAACATTAAAATTGCATCCGGCCATTCTCCCACATAAGGTTAACTTATCTACAACTACTGCTGACTGCAAATATTTTGTCTGATATAGTAGTTCAAGCTTCTAATTTGGTCTCCTGGACTACTCAGAAAGCCAATAGGTTTTGCTAATTTTTACTGATTTAACTTATGAGACATTTTCAATTCCTAAATCACTGCATATATGTGTGTATGATAGATATATGAGGGGGTTTCACAAAGTTTGTGGAAAAAATCCTTATCTGTTCATCTCATTTTTTTCACAAACTTTTTGAAGCCCCCTTGTTCATACACACATTTATACTGTTGTTTGTTGTTAAGGCCTGCCGATTGGGTTCCAACTCACAGTGACCCTGTATACATTTCTGAGGACTGGCTCATGAGTTTTAAGTCATCAACCTTGCGGATGGCAGTCCAGTGCTTATTCTATAGTCCACATCAGGACTCCAAAAACTCACATATATATGTTGCTGTTAAGTGCTGTTGAGCTGGTTCCGACTCATAGCGGTCTTGCATAGGATTTCCAAGGAGCCGCTGGTGAGTTTGAACCGCCAACGTTTTGGTTTAAAACGACCTTGTGCGCCAATGCTTTCTCCCACAGTGCCACACTAGGATTCTCAATCTCCCTCTCTCAATACGCACACATATGAAAACAAGTAAAAAATTACCTGTACATTGGCCACAGAATTTATTTTAATCAACTTTTAGAAAAGACAAATGCATACTTTTTTCAACGTAATCTTGTTTTTCAATACACTCTATCAACAAGCTTTCATACTCCTTTATTAAAAAATGTTTCTGGCTGAGCTTCAAGCCACGAATGCACTGCTGTTTTCACTTCTTCATCAGAAGTGAAGCTTTGTCCTCAAAGGGCTGCTTTCAGGGAACCAAACAGGTGAAAACCCAATGGAGCAAGATCAGGACTATAGGGAGGATGCTTTAACACCTCAACACAAAATTTCTGCACAGTATCAACAGTGTGGGCAAAGGTCTGGGGACGTGTACTGTCATATGCAAGAGCACAAGCCCTTGCATAGCACTCCTCTGTGTTTAATCCAAAATTTAGGCTTCAGATCTTCAGTCAACATCTCACTGCAAAAGCACTGTTGATTGCTGAACCTTTTTCCTGATAGTGTTCCAATACTGGGCCTTGAGAATCCCAGAAAACTATAAGCATCAATTTTCTAGCTGATGGTTGACTTTTGAACTTTTTCTTGGTCGGCAACTGAGGATGTTTCCATTCCATATTCTGCCATTTAAACCTTGCAGGCCCATAGTGATGAATCCATGTCTTGTGACCAGTAACAATTTTTTAAATGACAATCTTACCTTCCTGCAAAATTTTGTCTGCAGAAGTCCAAATGCTTCTGTTTATATTCTTCTGTGAGTTGTTTTGGTACTCATCTTGCACAAACTTTTCAAAACCCAAGTCTATTGTGGCAGAGCCATGGCTGATTTGCTACATAACCCACTGTTACTTGTCTATTCAACAAAATCATTTCATGTGTACACCGAATGTTGTGATCAGCCATGGATGTGGATGGGTGTTTTAATATAACTGGAGTAAGGGTAATTTTTGACTACTCTCATATATGTGTGTATGTGTATATAATTTTTAGGAGTCCTGGTGTGGTGCTGTGCTTATCCTATAGCACATACCAGCCAGGACTCCTCAGAAATCCTATATAGGGTCGCTACGAGTCACAATTAACAATAACAATATAATTTCATATTAATATTTTTATATGGCATCTGTAAGATAGAAATGTTCCTAAATATTTCTTGTAACTTTAATTTAGATTTCAACACCTTATTTCAACACCTTATTTCTCCTTTTATTTTGACTTTGTTTTAATGTGGATTTGGTATTAAACAATGACCTTCTCACATCCCTTTTCTTATTACACTCCAGTCAATAGATAAAACTACACTTGAATTCACATAATAACAAGAAGCATTTTAACAATGTTCCATTGTATTTTTAATGTCAGAATAAAGGAAGATACACAGGAAAAGGTGTTGGTTCTTTCAAATATCTTACTGAAAAATTACTCTTCTGGTTACCAAGCACTTTACTATTAAGGGACCAAAAAGAGTTCATTTGCTTCCTTTTAAAAAAATAAAAATATATAAAGGAGAAGTTAGCCTACTGACAATTTTGTTGAGTTCAACTGAAACCTGTTAAAATGATAAATGTAGGCAGTTACACTTAGATGATACAACTGAACTTTGTACAGTGTCACAAAACACTAAATTCCCTTAGTTGAACTGATGAGTATCAAATAATCTGCAATTACAGAGAAAGTTCTACAAACTAGACATTAAAGTGCTCATGTACTCAAATAAGGTTATAATCATTTTATTTCAAGCTGCAGCCTTTTTCATATTCTTTACTAAGCAAAGCAGAATTCATAAAAGGTTAAAAATTGATTCCCTTTTTGAAAACATGTTCTCTTAAACATGTTCAGGTTAGTGTATAAAAAAGGTAAATATCTTATAACTTATAAAAAGTATCTTTTGTAAAACTTTTATTCTAATCAGTGAATAAGTTCTACATGTAAAAAAGCAAATTCAATCTTCATTGGAGAAGTGTTTACCCCATCTCTTTTAACCATGGATTAATATTTTTCTCAGTATTAACAGTATCTTTTCTCAGATGAACCACAGCTTTGCAAGAATATAATTGAATGACACCAGTCACCTACCTTTCTTTCTCTTGCTGATTTCCTTTATCACTTCCATTGTTAATCAAAGCAAGTTCATCTAATAATGATGTAGACTCCTTTGTAAATTTCTCAAAAACCTAAAATACAAGATTTTATTAGTAGCCTGGATTCCCTTTCCTTCCTTCAAAGGTACTTAGTGTAATTCAACTAGGAGAGCACTACTGTACACAGAGAAGGCAAAGCTGTTTCCTAAAACAATCAATAGTTGCAAATGACAAGAATGTTTTAACCTTAAGTATGTTAAATTATTTTTAGTTCTCATTGTTGTTGTTAAATGCTGTTGAGTGGATTCTGACTCAGAGACCCTGTGTAGGGTTTCTGAGGAGAGGCTGGTGAGCCTGAATTGCTAATCTTGAGGTTCTAACCGACTTTTCAGACTTGCTAACCCGTTAGCCTGCAGCATCACAACAGCACAAGTGTATTTTTATTTCTGTGTCTCTTTGATTATTAGTTCTACCAATAACAGTTATAATTGCTTAACATTATTTAGGCCAATTCTAATCCTCTAATTTCAGTTATAGGCCACTCTAGTTGTAGGATATTTCTTTATATTATTCTGGTTATATGTAATAGTTAAATGGTTTTATATACATGCATACCCATCCTGACTGCCAGCAAGACAATTCTGACTCATATCAACCTCACAGGACAAGAGTAGAACTGCCCCAAGAGTTTCCTGGCTGTAAATCACTACTGAGGCAGACTGCTACATTTTTCTACTTCAGATTAGCTGGTGTATTGAATTCCCAACCTCTTGGTTAGCATTTGAGCTCTTTAACAACTGTGCCACCAGGGTTCCTTATACACAAACAAGCATGTGGCATAAAAGTATAAGTTATAATTCTAACACAACTTCTTAAAATAGTTCATAAAGAGGATTTTTGCAAGTCTGTTTAAACATGTAATAAGGCAGACACTCAATTTTCTGTTCAAACACTGTGAATATAAAAACCACAGTTCATTCTGAGATAAATGAAAGTTCATTACTCGTCAATAAAATTCATATATAATCTAAATTGAGTCCATCTGAAGTTTGTTCTTTCAGTCCCCCCACAGTTCCATAAAACACTGTCTTATTTTGCAAATGATAAAGATACATTTTCAGAAATGAAAATTTAATCTGTCAAATTGTTCTTCAAATTAGTAATTCAAATTGATGTTTAAATATTCCTTCTGCAAATGATAGGTCAACTATAATACTTAGGACAGCATGCTGCTCTATTTAAGGAGCTCTGGTAGCATAGTGGTTACGAGTCAGGCTGCTAACCTTAAGGTAAGCAGTTCGAAACTACCAGTGGTTCCGTGGAGAAAGAGGAGGCTTTCTGCTTCCGTAAAGATTTACAGCCTTGGAAACCCTGTATGGACTAGTAGGAACTGACTCCACAGCACACTACCATCACCACCACCATTCTCCCCTTTAAGAACCTTAGTGGGCTGCTTATCGTAAGGTCTCTGGGAGAAAGACGTGGCTGTTTACTTCCACATAGATTTACAGCCTCAGAAATCCTGTGGGGCAGTTCTACTCTGTCCTATATACAGGTCGCTGTTAGTGGAAACTTGGCTTAATGGCAATGGGATTTAGGTTTTGAGTTTTGTGCTGGTTGCTGTCAAGTCAATGCCAACTCAGGGCAATTTCATGTGGTACAGAATAGAAGTGCTCACAGATGAATGCAAGCCATTTATGCCACCTAGAAATGTCATCTTTATAACAGGATCACTTTATGGGAATATATGGGCAAGACAAAATAAATACAAACATGAAGCACTTAGAACAGCAACTGGCACAACATGATAAGCATTATATACGTGTTAACCACAATTGTTCTTTTCGGTAGCAGTAATTTTACTAGCCAGATTTGTCAATCTTAAAAGGAGTATCAAACAAACAAACAAAAAATTCACTGCCATCCAGTCGATTCTGACTCTAGCGACCCTATATAGGGTTTTCAAGACTATAAATCTACAGGAGCAGACAGTCTCGTCTTTCTCCCACAAAGATGCTTGTGGGTTAAAACTATCAACCTTTCAGTTAGCAAGTGAGTGCTTAACCACTGTACCACTAGGGATCCTTAAGGTTAAGTGCCATCAAATTGATTTCAACTCAGCAATCCTGTGTAGGTTTCCGAGGCTTTAAATCTTTTCGGGAGAAAGTGGCTTATGGGTTCAAATCACCAACCTTCTGGTTTGAATCCAGTACTTACCATATGGAGCCATCATGCTTACAAACAACATTATGTTGTTGTTAAGTGCCATCAAATTGGTTCCGACTCACAGAGACCCTGTATAGGGTTTCCAAGGAGCGGCTGGTGAGTTTGAACCACTGACCTAGTGATTCAAACCAACCTTGCAGTCCTGTGCTTTATCCCACAGCACCACACCAGGACTCTAACAACATTGCTCTTGTTGCTAAGTGCCCTCAAGTCAATTCTGACTCATAGCAACCCTGTATAGGGTTACCAAGGAGAGGCTGTTGAGTTTGAATCACTGACTTTGCGATTTGAATCGACCTTGCAGTCCAGTGCATTATCCGGCAGGACCACACCACTATAGACGTGTGGAAATAGAGGCACAGAGAGGTTAAATACATTGCTGAAGTCCATTGATATGGAATGAACTGTATCCTCCCCAGAAGATGAGCTGCAATCCTAACTCCTCCTTCATCCATGAATGTGACTGGAAATAGGGTTTTCCTTTGCAAAAATTTTCAATGAAATTCAGGACGTTGTATTGGAGTAGTTGTCCTTAAGTGTCGTAGAGTCAGTTCCAACTCATAGCAACCCTGTGTAGGGTTTCCAAGGAGCAGCTGGTGAGGAGAGTGAGTCATCACCCTGTCTGAGCAGTGTCTTATAAAAGATAAGAGACTCGGAGTAGGGGCAGGAAACCATGTGAAGCAAATGTGAGGCAGCAGAGGGGCATCGAGGAACCCTGAAGTGATGAGAAGATATGAGAGAGGCATAGAATAGGTCCTGTCTCAGAACCCTCAGAAAGAAATCAACACAACCAAAACCCTTATTTGGAGTCCTGGTGTGGTGCTGTAGAACAAGCACTGGACTGCTAACCGTAAAGTCGTCAGTTCAAATCTACCAGGTGCTCCTCAGAAGCCCTATAAAGGGTTACTATGAGTCTGAACCAACTCGATGACACTTAACAACAACAGTATACCTTGATTTGGACTCCAGAACTGTGAGAAAATACATTTCTGGTTTTCAAAACCCTAACTTTGTGGTATTTTGCAATGGTTGCACTAGGAAGCTAAAACAGTCATATATCCCTCAAAGAGCAAGATTAGGAATCTAATATAGTTAGTCAGATTCCAGAGGATTTGTCCTCAAATGTTAGAGTATCATGTAGAATGTTCTAAGTAGTTTTATAAAAACAATCAAATTTTTTAGTTAATTAACATGGTTAAGGTTTCAGAACATAACATTTTATCTCATTATTATATACCAACCAGCCTCTTATTTAGCCAGTCCATGTGATCATAGGTAAGACTCCCACCAAAATCTTCTGTTAGCTGGCATGGTTCTATGTATCTTGTCAGTTTATTGGCAGACACTAAAATAACCTAGAAACAGAAAGAAAATCGTTAACAAATCATTATTAAAGTACATGAAAATAGTGAAGAGATATGTCTAGTTGATACTACAGCATTTAAAACCAACTCAATTAAATGTGGATATCTGCTCAGAAATAATATTACAAAGACAAGCTATACCAGCAACATAGCTAAGATTTTTTTTTTTAATAAAATTAATCGGTATTAACAATTCAATTTCATTAACACAAAATGATACTAAAAGTCAATTTGTTTAATATCATTATTGAATCTGAAAAAATTCAGAGCATCAAAATTTGCTAGGAATACTAAAGTGATAAACACAAATGAGTAATCTGCCTCAAGAATTTAAACATTCCAAAGTTTCTCTAACATTTCTCTTGATTCTATTATATTAAGGACAAAAATGGCCCATAATAGTAGGTAAAGGCCAGGATAACATAAGCCAGTATTTCACTAAAAATATAAAATAAAATGGCAGAGTCGAAGAATTCAAATAAATGTGAGAGCTACATATTAAAATTATGTCTTAATTCTAAAGTTTAAAAGAAAGAGTTCAAATACAAATTACAAAAGTACCTATGAAACTATGGCAGAGTTATGCAAAATTCTGACATAGAAACGCATAAGGAAAACACATCATGGGACAAACATACTCAAATGGAAGTGTTAATCCAAAAATAAAATGTGGAAATGTGACTCATAAAAAAAAAAAAAAAATCACTTGATAAAAACAGTAGGGTTCAGCTTCCACCTAACATACTGACCGCTGCAGGTCATTCCCACCTTAAGGATGAGAAAAATGTCAAGTCACCTACAAAATTATACAGGTTCTGGGACCCACGAGAGAGCTGCAGTCACAGGGAAACCAATTGAAAACAGACAAGTAGTAAGCACAGCATGAGAAGGGGAGACTACAAAGAAGCAAGGATGAATTCTGGGAATGGTAGACGTGTTCTGCATCTTGATTGTGGTACACTAGATATGACTATATTTTTATCAAATCTCATAAAACTATGCACTAGAAGGAATGGATTTAATTGTATATAATTTATACCTCAAAAAACTTGGGATTAAAAAAAGAAAAAGAAAACTTCAGTTAACAGATAGAATAATAAAAAGGAAAAAAATGTAAAATTTTAATATATA